TCTTTTGGACCAAAGCATCTACTTAATATACCCTCTTCTTTTCCCTCATATGTTGTTTTATATTTATTCATCTTGAATTGTATAATTTGACTTGAAGTGGATCAAAATTTATAGTGTTTATAACTGACACTCTGCACACACTCAACACAGTTCGTGAGATCTTGATATGCATGCATGGTACTGCATAACTTAACTAAGATTTTAAAATCTGAGTTTGAGAGATGACATAATACTCAAGGGATCACTCTTTAGACTAACCTACTGGTATTCACAATGTGGATTGAAAACTTTATCATGAAAAGGATGGTTGTAGATTGTGGAAGTGTACTTGATTCTTTGCTATACATATTTGAGAAGAGTAGACTTTATGAAGTTTAGTCATTTAGAAATGCAATGGACAGTCTTCAGGTTTAACTTCATGTTAGTCTCAGTTAAAGGGGTTATTTCCTTTCTAGTGATCTTGGGATGATATATTTGTCATATTGCCATGATGCTGAGGTTCTTGATTGTTGGGGTTGGCTGGGATTGCAGTGTTTTCCTTGGCAAATCACCCTTAAACTACATGGGCAGATATATTTTTCTTATCTCATTTGAAACTTTTGAGGGCTATTTTGTATCTATAACCTTTTCTTTTTGAGATTTTTCTCTGGTATTTATTTTTATTATTTTAAGGAGTTCTATATCTTCTGTTTTTATTTCAGAAAACAAAAATGAGGGAAATAACAGGTTTTTTTTTTTTTTTTTTGGTGGATTGATTGAGAAATTAACAAGCTGCTTCTTTGAAAATTAGAAAATGCTTTTTTATGTAATAAGCAGCTTCTTTGAAAATTAGAAAATGCTGTTTTACGCCTACAGTTTTCTAAAGGCCCTGTACATTACTTTTTTCATAATTATTAATACTGTTATATGTTACATAAATCTTTTTAATCTATATCTAATATATTTTTATATTATTAGTTGCATTTGATTTTTTATTATATATTCATAGATTACATATGCTTTTTATGACGATTTTATTCATCTGTACATATATTAAAATAATACCATTGAATAATACAGGATATATTCGTATAATGTAGATATTTGAATTATGAATTGAAAGTTTGTTTTCTTTCGGCCATCAAATGAAATCAAAAATTTCTATTCTTGTAAATATTGTTTAAATAGTAAAATGATTTTTAATTATATATTTTCTCTTACATACTTTCCTGTAGTCATTATAATAATCTTCATTTTTTACATACTTTATTGTACAGTCATTATGATAATTTTTTAGTTCGCTTGTGACCTTAAATTTGGATTTGTTATTGCAATTGAATTAAGTTTTCTTAAAATTTATATAACATTTTCATTTCCAAACATAGTTTTCACTATTTATCTTCCGTTTTGAGTTTTCAATTTCTTAAAAAAAATTTTGTTTCCGTGATACCAAATAATGCTCAAAAGAGTGTAACACAATTCCAATGAGCCAACGAAACATATACCTAACACGGAGTTGAGGAAAGGTATGCACAAGGAAAATATTGTGAGGGACGCCAGTCCCAAAACAACCTAGTATTGTGGTAATTGAAGAAGTGACATTTCCCATGATTGCTATTGGGAGAGGACTCTTTCAAGTGGGATTAACTTGTTTGTTTCACCTGTTGATTTGTTCATTACATTTCTTTTTGACTGAACTTCATCAAGCTCCAAATTTTCAAATATATGATAGAAATGAAATCTAGTATACCCATACAATACACAAACATCCTTTTAGTGTCAAAGTTTTTAAATCTACATGTGTAAACTGGTAGAAGGTTCTATAGGGATGAGATCTTGCAGAAGGTTATACCTTGATCTCGTAGATTCAGATTATCAAATCTTGGTTTGGGTCATGCCCACTTAGGCTATAGACAATTTGATTGTTGCATGGATATTGTATGGTGCGTAAGGATGTAAAATGATTGTAATATTGTTGTTTATAC